AACATTAACACGATACTTTTATTTTCTGCTAATCAACACATTTTTTTGGGAAAAAAAAACAACCAAAGCTAACAATAAATTTGGTTGTAGACCATCCACGCCATGAAAAGCCCCCACAAATGCTTAAATAGCTGTAACAAATGAACATGCCATTTGTATGACAGCTCAATCCTTCATAACTGTGGTTATACCACTCTACATCATATTTAAGTAAGTAAGTTTGGCATTTAGCAAATTATTGACAGCTCTACCAGCACTCTGTGTTTTCTCGGCTTAATAAGAAATCTGTTTGAAGTCTGAACATATAAATTCTATTAGCTTGTGTGAAGGAAGGAAGTCGTGTCTTGTGCAGAGGTGACATGCAATTAGCACTGATGGCAGAAATTAATCATGTTGCCTGAGGCTGGCTGACTCTTGGCGGTAATGTAGTTGACCATTTGGCAACATGTTCGATGTGCTCTGTGCCCCCAAACCAAACAGAATAACTTGGACAAAGCTGGGAATGGCGTGCCCAAAAAGTGGAAGTAGCTTGATGCTTTTCCACAGCCAGGTTATCAGTGTTACCCATAACAAATTATTTCTGATCCCATGCCACTCCATACTTACTCTGGATAAGCATTACTAACCAACACAGCCAAAACCCCCAAACTTTACTGTAGGTCAGTACCCAATACGGTCAGCTGAGAGCCAAATCACTGTCAGTGTCAGCACAGGCTGTGAGAGTAAGTAGATGGGACCAGTCCCAATGGGACCAGCCCCAATCAGTTTTACTGATATGCCTTTGAAATACTTCTACTGATCATTGGCAGATCCAGCATATCATTTTCAATAGGCTTTAATGCCATGTATATGGAACTACAGTCAGGATCATGCAGTTATTATTCAGGATGCTAAATACAATTAAATAGTTGTGAGTTTATTGAGTACTGCACATTTGTAAATAATTTATAGCTGACGTAATGATATTGACAAGATGAGCAGTTGCCTTCATGCCACAAATACAGTGAAAGTAAATGGGTTTTCTTCTTCTGACATACTGAAAAGCACATGCAATTCCTCTTCATTACATAAACATTTCTAATCTGTTCACCAGAATAGTGCTTTAGTATTTGCCAATATTGCATAATGTAGGACATCTATCATGAATAAGGATGTTCTGTTGATTTTCAAGGAATCTAGCCAGAGCTATACATTCACAGTGATGATTAACAAATAAGACTTGCACTTAGGAAGTGTTACGTGCTCAAGTTAACAATAACTTCCAGGTATGTTGGCTTACTGCATCTATGCACATAGATTGCTACTCATCACCTAACAGCAAGCACTGAAAGAACCATCTAATATTTACCATTTCTACTTCAATGCACAGATTTTTGCCAGAAGGATATGGTTAAGTTTTCATAGGGAATCTTGCTCACTGCTTGACAATCCCCTCACTCAGTATCTCTTAAAGTCCCAGTGGCATGTGTTGTACGTGCCATCAGTCTCAGGCAGGTGAACTTCCTAAGTAAGGTAGTGCTGTGCTGATGATCATTTGTACATCTTCTTACTGCTAGTAGAATAGCTTTATAGAGAATCTGTAGCCTGTGGCTGCAACCAACATGTTTTCACAGACTTAATACAAAGGAAGTCCTAAATACTGAGCCTACAATGTCCTTTACTCCAAAAATGGTTTGTGTCCTAATGTAACTGTTTGTGCTTACGGAATTGCACTATACCACTAAATCTGCAGTTCAGTCCAGATTTCATCATTATGTCATGCTAACACCTGTTTTAAGGAATAAGAAAATGTTGGAGTAAATAGTGCATAATGTAACAATATGATGCATAATTGTGCATAGTCTTCAGTGAATAACCGTGATCATAAAAAAGAGATATGGAATAAGGAATGGCAATTTTACTGCTTAAATTCAAATAAATGCAATATTCCAAAACTTCAGAATCCAGGATCACAATTTTTGTGAAATCCTCACCTAAACCTTTTGATCTGCGGGACTGTGTACTACCCAGGCATCTCCCATTAAACTGTTTTCACAAATATAAAAACCTAATAAACTTTCTGTGGGCAAACCCTATACTGCTTCCTGCTGGTTTCAGAAGGGGGCATAGTACTTCTTTATTTCTTAAGGCATATAAAGCAAGAAAGTACAGTCAATTCATTAAATCTTTTCAGTGGCATGCATAGAGATCTTCTATGAAGATGGAGGTCAGGAAATACAATAAAATGCTGGAGATTCATAGAATCCTTATAAAGCTCAAAAAAATCAACTTTCCATTTTGCAGGAAGGGGCCCTATTCTCATGGACATACAGAAAATAGGAATAGCTTTAAGAACTACACTTTGAAAATCAATACTGTATTTAGTTGAGTGCCCTCTATCCCCCACCCCCCCAAAAAAAAGAAAAAAAACCCAAACAAACCAGAAAACCAACCAAAAGACAAGGAATACTGAAATCAGAATAACTGTGCTGTGACTAAACAGGTATTGTACTTGGTTAGAACATCATTATGTAGACGGGGCAAGATTTCCTAACAACTTAATTTTCTGGATCTGAAGGGTGAGGGTTTTCTGGTATATCAAATCACAGCAGAGTACAGTGGACCAAGAGTACATGAGACCAAAACTATGTTTAGAGACTTGGTTGCTCATGCTGCACTTTCTCACTTAATTAAAAAAAAAAAAAAAAAAAATCAAAAAAGGCACAAAAGGGATAAATTGACTTATACAACTGCTTTAGGCAGCTAAACAGCCTAAAGACAAAGTGAAAGCAGGCTGGCTCCTTCTTTAAGAGGTCAAACCCCTTTGTTTTTATACATGATTATATTAAAGCATCTGCTTTTCAAGATACACCTTTGTAGACAGTACTAAGCTTCTATAACCTCACCATTTAAACAACAGAACCCTCTAGTTGATTGGTATCTCAAGGCTTTATCTTGATCTTTTTTTCACTTTAGAACTCTCTTTTTAACTCAACTAGCAATTTGAAGAACTTGCCACGAGCTAAAGAATTCATTATCGGCCTTTAAAACAATTTATCATGAGCTTTAAAACTGTAAATTAGTGCTTAATGAATTAACTTCGAGAGTGGCAAATATAAAAATAGAACCAAATACAGAGTAGACAATATTGTGCCTTGCAGGTATATTTAATGCAGATGTGTATATTAGGATGATTATTTATACAATTAAGTCTGATCACCACAGTAATCTGTATCACAATCCAAAGAATAACGCACATACTAGTCGCAGTCAAAAGGAAAGAAATCCTGCATATGAAGGTTTCCAGTGTATTTAAGAAACCTTTCCTTGAAGATCCTTGCAGAAGCCCCTGCTATACATGCTAAATCAATGCAACAAAACTGCCACTAAAATTATGGTTTAATCCACTTAGCAATAAAAGGGTCAAAACACTCAAGCCTGCAAATTACTTACTGAAACTAGAAAGGTACTCTTTAGAGAATTTTCACCACAAGTTTGCCCACAAGCTGCAAGTGATCTTCTAATGCAAATGTAATTTATGAAAATGTAATTTATGAAAAGAAAAAGTATAGGCCACCAACTGAAAGAAAACATTTATTGAATAAAAGTCAATACTTTCCTTTTAATATCTCCAAGCCAACACTGAACTGACTTTATTCAAGAATGAACACAATGTACAAAAAAAGTATGTCTGTTATAAAAATATGCAATTTTTTTTTTCTCCTGGTTATTGAGTTGAAAACATTTTGACAAGTGCAAGATATGTTTGGCAAGCAAATTTAAGCCGCTATTACCAATGACAAAGTTCAGATAACTTTGTAATCATAGTATATTTAAGACTCATTGATAAAGTGGCATTGGAAATGTTGACCTCTAAAAGAAAAATATATATATATATATCACTGCACTGCCATGTTTATGCACCCAGACAATTGATCATCTTGATCTTCTGTTGTCACAAATCAGTACCTTTAATCAGTGAAGACTATCCAACCTAATTCGAACTACTGAACCAGATAACTGACACCTACCACTGGAATACAATTTAGGAAAGGCAAACTACCACCATGGCCCTATATTTTGTGTGTTGTTTGTCAACTAAGGGAGAAGACTAGGTAGGTTCATACATGTTTAAATCAACCTGACAGCTGTTGCAATGTGAAATCAGGGAGATTATGGAAAAAGAATAAAGAATCATTGATAGCAATCTACATTTATGAACACATGTGTGCTCACGTATAAAAACAGATCTGACTAGGCTCAGTTATGCCTTGTTTGGATGGTTTTTTTATTCCCCACATAAAAATTTAACTCAATCAGGACTCAAATCATTGACTTCTCTCAAACCACCAACAAGGAGGGAAAAAAGGGACCATTTATAGAGATAATCTGAAAACAGTGCAATATTAAAATACAATTTCACAACGTGTGAAAGAAACATGCTTTGGAACCTGAGCAAAAGGCGTTTTACTGACTTAGTAAAAAGTCACCCTGTATGCTGTTTTCATTGGCATCCGTTCTGCCAGATTAGTATGTTGCTCTTAGCAACTTCCATGGCCCCTAAATATTTAGTACACAGAAACTGCCAACTACTTGAGAGGTCTACTAAACTTTTCAGCTAATATTGCAGGCAGTCTGACATGCTGCTACTGGAAATGACCATACAGCCTAAAATTAAGAAAAACTGTAAAAAGAAGCAGCCAAACTTATGCTTTTCTTTTTTAAATAGACTAAAGCGCTTCCACAACACTTAGATACGGTACTACACTGGTTTACAGTCTCAAGGTCAGCTCTTTCAAAATAAATATACTTGAACATTTACAACAAATGCCTCATGAACACAAGCTCTCTCTTTATTACTTCAAGACCAGCTGGATAAAAACTAAAATAAAAACGTAATTCTGAAGCAGCTAAATTACAAATCCTTTGTCAGAAACAGGCATGACTTGGTGCCACAGCAAAACTTTTCACCAGTCTGCAGTAAGCAATTTTTACTTTTTTTTCTCTGATAGCACCAAGAGGGCCACCATACAAAGGAACCTCACAAAGCATGCGATCATCTACTCTGCTCATTTTGTATGAAATAATCATTTGTGCTTGTAGGTCCTAGACCTTTCAAAAATGGGTATGAACAATAGATGATTGAACACATTAATGGAAACTCACTCATTTCTAAATGACTTTAGTGGACAAAGGATTTAATGATCAAAAAGCAACAGAATGTTGCACATTAGTATTTGTGAGGGATTAGGGAAGCTCAGGTTGGTGCTTTAATTTGCCTTAAAAACAAATGAAAAACTAAACCCAATCCTAAACAGCTCTATGTTCATGATTCTGGTAGAAGCAAATGCGTGCATGCCACTGAAAGGCACGGTCGGACCAATCTGATAAATGGCATCATCAGAGCAGAACAGCAACTTTCCACTGGAGTAATCACAAAGGGTGAATAACGAGCCATCACTTCTCTCGTCATGAGCACAGAAAGCAGTCACCGAGGCAAAAAAGAGGACACGGGAAAGAAGATATAGGAACCCATATGAACCTGGGAGACAAAAACCGCATGTTAAACTGAGTTTTGAACATTCTGAGTGACCATTTTCCCTACTTCAACATTGCTATTCATTGATTTGACACTTTATATACTACGCTTAAATGGATGGAACTGTTGCAAAAAATGGTATACTAACCATATCACAAAATTACACAACTAACTTCACTTGCAAAGATTTACCTACATCATCATCTTAGGTATAAAACAGGCTTACAGACAGATTGATGCAGTCAGGACAAGCTCTAGTTCATCGTGTAAAAAGAATAACATGCTCACATGACACTGCATTTTATTCAGAAATGCATTTTAAAATTGGGCATCATAAACACACAGCTATTCATGAAGTAGTATGATGGTTCTTCTTACTACTCTACCAGTGCCTAAAAATCGAAATGCAATACTTACTGAAAAGGTTTCCCCAGGGTTATCCTGCCTTTGTATCTACAAGCTGCATCTGAACATTTGCAGACATGCCACCTCCATAGCCTCCCTTGGACTGCATTTGGTTCTGAATTGAGCTCACCTGGAGACAGAAGGTAAAGGGGGGCAAAGAAAAGAGGAATCGCAGTTAGTGAGCTATGGCATCTTCCTTCCTCCAATTCTATTTCTCGGTTTAGGTTTGGTTTTCAACTGCTCCTTTAGCATTAAAGCTGCATTACTTTTGCATGAGGACATGTGCAGCATAGGCTTGCTGGAATTTTCACTTCTGCAGGCAGCTCAGCAGGAGAGAGGGAAGAACTGGTGCTTGAGCAGAAGTTTTTCTTCTCTCCTAAAGAAAACTGGCTGATTCAGGCTTCCACTGACCCGCTTGATTACTCAAAAAAATTTAATCAAATCTCTTACTGGTATCCAATTCCACTCCATCTGACAATCTATAATTTACCTCGTTATATGAAAAGTGTTCTTTGCCAAGTATGATAAACCAGAAAAGTTGACACCGTTATGTTAAAAGTATAATAGACAACTTACAAAATATTTGGACAGTATCTGCACCATATAGCTAACTTCAGATAATTTAAAAAAGAACTTTCTAAGCCAAAAAGGAGCTTTTGGTTTGTGGAAGTTTTTTTTATTTATCTGTTTACATAACAGCAACACTGCTTTCCTTCATTGCTCTATTCTTTTAGATGGCAGGGAATTTATTACTTAAATCATACTCAGTCTACCAACTTCCCTGAAAATAGCTAATTTGAAGGTATTTTTAGCCTGATGAAAGAAAATACATAAAGAATGCTTCCCCTTTCACCCCGAGACACGCACATCCCTCTATGGCTTTCATTGCCTTTCTCAACAAAAAGGAAGGGAATCCATAGTTCTTTACTGCTTGTGTTGCACGAGTCAAAATAATAATGTCCAAGTGCCTGCAGGAAGACAACTCCAGCATTAAAGGTTCTGCCTTTTTCCCTCTGCACCCCAGAGCATACATAACAAGTACACAATGAGCACAAAATAACATATTCAAAGCTACAGCTTCTGAAATTGAACTTGCAGCAAAGCCTATGCCTACAGGGCACCACTTGCAATTATTACATGTATGCTCCTTCACAGAGACCTCAAAACAACACTAGAAAGCTATTAAAACAGCACTGGAGAAATATTTCCAAGTAGCTTGCATGTTATTTCCCCTATCTACAAAGACAAAAGAAGTATATTCTTTTCTACAGCAAAGCAAAACACATGCACACACACAAAATTAATCAGCACAACTCTTTCTTACACACCGTTTCTCAAGGCCAATGTAAAAAAAAAAAAAAACAAACTTGTTTTAGATCTTTGTCTTCAACAGCACTATGCAAAAGATTGATTTTTGTGTATTTAAACTCAATGCAAAACCATTTTCTACCTTGGTGCTTTGCTCAGTACATGATACAGCTACAGCAGCAAAGCAAAATTACAGTCGTGTTTTTCTTCAGGGGAAAAGCATTCAGAGCCGATACAGACTACAAAGTCAGGGAGTGTGGATAAGTGCATCCACATTTATGAGGTGGTGTTTAAGAACTCTGACATTTTATCAAGCTGGTCACATGCACCAAACATCTTCTGTTGCTCACTGGAACAAAAGGAGTTTGAATTTAATGTGGTGGTTTTTTCTTTTTTTGGTTTGTTTGGTTTTCCTCTCAGAAAATAATTAATATACATGTAAATGTATTCACAAGAATGACTTGAGGATGGCATTAATTTCACCTGAATGACCCTACCTCTAGCGAAAAAGAGCCAGAAAAACATCTTCTGGTCATGTCACCTTCCAGCCTGACAACTTGCCTGGCCGAAGTGTAAATTTTTGAGTACTTCTAGAGGTTACAATAATTTTTCTGATATTTGAGTCACACATACAGATGTTTGTGTTAGTGGGTAAGGAAGAATCAGTCTAAAAAACACAGAGGCTATTACATCTAAAGCAAAGAGAATGCAGCAAATTAAACTTGACTGCACTAGCAGTTCAGTGGCTGTTTTGTATATTAAAGCTTATATAGGAGATACAGAACATTAAAAACACTGAGCAAAAGCAGGTATAACAGCTGTAGGCTTATCAGGTGTTACTCTTTCTGAAGCATCCTCATTCTGAGGCAGTCTGAGCTACAAAAACATGCGCCATGAAACGCAATTATTTTTTTCTTTCCCAAAGATGCCATTGCCTTCCTTTGATGATACGTAACAGCAAGGTTGCTCTCTCTTATGTCCAATTTAGACAGGATAAGAATTTAAAGATTTTGGAAAGTGAGGGGGATTGCACCAATTAGAGATCATACAATCAGCTGTGCTGCTTATGTCTCATTAATTTTCTTCTTTCCTTTTCTTCCTCTTCCATTTAGAATTAGGAAATCGCACAATCTTTGAGAAAGAAAACAAGGGAAAACTAAGAAAAGGACAAAATACATGAACTTGAAGACTAAAATGAGGAATACGAAGCAGAAAGTGAGAGATTTCACTATGGAATAGGAAAAGAAGGTGGTGATGGGAATGAGAAAGAAACAGTGCACAGAGGACTCCTACTGTTTAAATGTACCTTTGACAAAGGAGTGAGATGCTCTACAGAGAAAGCAAACAAAAAAGCAAAATATTTCAGTAGTCAGAAAGCTACTGTACTCAGAATAATAAGGACATGTAATGAAGAACAATGCTGATGAAAAAAGGCACAGACCACATAGTAAATAATAATCAAATTCACATGGGAAAAGCTAATGGAATTGCAGGAGGTCCTCCCGAAGTACTCAGAAGCAGGCTCATGAAGGACTGTAATGTCCATACTTTAAAGGAAATTAAGCAGCAGAAAAACATACGGAAGTTAACATTGTAATCTTAGAATTTACACTGCAAAGAATGAACAAGGAGACTGGATGGAATATTACCACAGTAAGTCACCACAGAAGAGGCAGGAAAATAGCAGTGTGAAAAAGCAGAGATTTGTGCTTCTGAAGAGAGAGTGAAAAACAGGATTATTTTTTGCATACAGATCCTTTCTATTCGGGATGAAAAAAATTACTCTGGCTACTTACACAGCACATTATCCAAATGAAAAAAAGAGAGAGAAAGAGATAGCCAGTTATAAGCGTTCAAAATGAAAAAGTCTATGTAGAGAGACAATAATGATTACCTACTATCTAGAGATTAATTGGGTATTACACAAGGCAAAGGTGAGGGCAAGCAGAGGGAAACGTCTGAGGTGAAAGAGCAAAGCTTCAGGCAATAATCACAATCCTCACAAGGGGCAGCTCAGCTGTGAGAATGAAGAAGGTTCTCACACTAGGGAGAACAAACATAAAAAACAAAAAGCCATGCTAAAAAAAAAAAACCAAAACAAAAAACCCCCAACAAACCAAACCTGCTCACTTTATTACTTTATTTCAATTTAGAATGACTTTAAATATTAATGTAATACATTGCATTAAATAAGTAATTAGCTTTAACTGAATTTTATCAATTTGAAGCTGTGTTTGTCTGTTTAACTTGCTTAGGGATGTTTTCATACAAATCACTTCCAACCCATTACACTGTTTCTGGGAAAGTGTAGCATATTGTTTGTCATGCCAGATTTTCTAGCTTTGCCCTTCCCCAATACGGACTGAGTTACAAGCTGTCAAGTAGCTGAAACTAAAATGACCTCATCATTACCTACATACAACCTTTTTCTAGAGTCCATATTATTGACCTTAAAAACAGATTGACATTTCACATAAATATGAAGCTGTACACGAGAAATCTCTTCTCATAAGCTGATTTTCAGTATCTATCTTACCTTCTGTTTTTCACTTTCAGGGAGATAAAAATATTTATTGCTCCTGTCATCTACAGGAAGCCACAAAACCTTGCCTCTGACATCATTGCTTGCTCTGGAAATAATTCACACTGCAAATAGGGCTACATAGAATAGAAAAACCTCAAAAAGAACACCCAAGAAAATTTGTGTGCACCATTTTTGTGTGGTAAATTAGTTTTACTTGAACTATATTTAAAATAGCGTAAAGCATTTAAGATAAGGAATCTAGTCAACTACAAGACACTTAGAAGTTATTTAAAATACTCTAGTATATTTTCTAGCTACATCTCTATTTTAGTTCATACATGCCATCAGAACAAATTTTTAAAAAGTATTCTACACATAGCCTATACAATTTATACAGAATCTAGTAGGTATTGTCCATAAAATAGAGGAATTTTAAAAATGGTATTCCATAACCTTGAATGCAAGAGTTTAGGATTTGAGATAAAGATGCTAGCAGTTTGTTCTTTCATAGAGATTCTTTCTCATAGCTGGGGTGGGGGGGGAAATAATAATAAAAAAAAATTGCTTCAGCCACAATATACACATACAGGGTTCCTGTATTCTGCTTAAGGTGAGATGTTCTTCATCTGCTCATGCTTACCGAATTCATTCCACTGAATAGATCCCCTGATCCTACGTGAGCTGTGTGAACAAAGTTTGTCGGCTCCCCAATCATGCTTCGGTCAATCCGCCGCCGTCTTTTCTGAAAGGAAGGTAAAGAAACCATCTAAATGAGAGTCACTGAAAAGGCAAAACAGTGAGTGTCAAAAATATAAAAGTTAACTGTCCATAGGATATTGCATACACTGCAAGGTATTTTCATAGTCAAAAAGGATAGTCCAAATTCCCAGGTTAAATAAGACATTTGCAATACTATCCTTGTATCTTTTACTTGAAGGCAGAGTTGAACGGGCCTTTGAGCAACCTGGTCTAGTGGAAGGTGTCCCTGCCTGTGGGAGGGGGGTTGGAACCAGATGATCTTTAAGGTCCTTTCCAACCCAAACCATTCTATGATTCTATGATCTATAGCGGATCATTAGATGATCACTGATACCGCTCCTTATATTTAGGAGTGATATCAGTGGACCTAACATTTAGGTCAACAAAACATTTGAAAATTACCTTAATACATTCCATGCTCTATTAGCAGTATTTGCAGTGGTTTATGCAATAAATTCTGCCTACATCTGTATTTAAATCATGATGTGACAGATAAAATATGAGCTTTAGTCATCCAAAACAAGAATTAAGGATCAAAGAGCATTAGTATAGTCTACAAGAACACTAACTTACACAATTTCTGGTTTGCATGCCATGGGAACTTATGTCACTATTTGTAACACCTTTCATGGTGATGTTCAGAACAATGCCTTGAGTTTGATCAGGGTTAGTCATAGACATATCTTTACTGAACACCGTATACTCAGATAACTTCCAGTCTGCATGGTTGTAGAATGTGAGCTGAAGGGGTGCAGTGTGATAGTGAGGGAGGATGCCAGATTAGGAACTCTGATTCCCATACGTTGAGACAGAAAGCAAAAATTGCTTAAGGTCTGCCCCCGCTGCCCCCCACCTTCTCAGAGCCACAGCTTCATTTTTTATTAATGTAATAACATGCAAATGAAAAATCAGAGGCAGTAAGGACTTCCTCTAGTTAAATCTCCTTTGGTTGCCTGCCTCCAGTTAAGTATTGCATCTAAAGGAATAAACCAAGAAAACACTATACTCATTTCTTAAGCCAGAGCCAGAGAGCTTACACAGAGCAAAGCATGCAGTGTGCAGTCACTGTATGCCCGTATCTGTATCTGAAAAAAAAACCCCAACAAACCCAACCAACAACCCCAAAACAAACAAGCAAACAAAACAAACAAAAAACCAAAACAAAACACCAAAGAACCCAACCCTCAACAACCCTACAATAGTATGAGTATCTCCATTTAAGCTGTGTCATACAAAATACAGATATAATAGCTAAGAAACTACTTGAGAGCTTAATTAAAAGCTTCCCATCATCTTAAAGTCCACTCAGTCTCATTTTTAAAGGTATCTCTGTTTCTAATCTGCAATGAGATGGTAAGACCACCCAGACTACAGACACGAAGGTACATGTCTCATGACTGGGCTTGCTGCTATTGAAACACCGCTACAGATTAGATCTTTATGAATCAGAGCCCACAGCTATGAGAATACGTCATGGGGTTTAGCCAGCAAGTACAAAACACATTTAATCCTTTACTACACCTTTTCCCTATTACTGAAGTCAGATTTTGGTACGTTTCAGTATGTTATTGTATCATATTAATAGCCAGGGTGAGGAGAAACACATAAAACACTCCCACAGAAACAGCAAAACCAAAATGACCTATCTATGAGAAAACTATTAGAGAACTCTCTACTCCCAACAATATCAACCAAGTAAAATAATCACAGCTATAAAAACACCTTCATGTGTTTGAGGGCTTTCACAGAGAAAACGCTTACGAAAATTAACTGAGATGTCTCAGTTACAGAAAACATTAGTAGATGTCACAGAGCTACAAACAGCCAAACAGAATCTATTACCATGCTCACAGATGCGTTAATATTTCAATCTAGAAGTCAAGCTCACTTACACATACAGCATACAGTTTCTTCAGCTATGCATGGTATCAGCTATTAAAGGCATAAGTGACCCACACCAGGTTTCTGCTTCCACTGGATGAGAACTGCTCATCTGACACATTCAGGACAAGGAGCATGTCCACCAACCCTGACAATTATTTTAAATGCACTTTGGTTATTTACATAATATAGTATTGTAATATGCTGTGGCTCTGACAGAGAAAGATGCTCTAGAGAGCTGTATGAAACCCACCACTCCAATTAAAACACTTAAACTTGTTTCAGGCTTGTCGTAGTTGCCCTTTTCCCCCTGAAAAAACGAAAAAACAACCAACAGCCGGTTAGATTCATTTGTATGTCTAAACAATAAAGGCATGATTTCTTGGTTTTAGTAGAGTTTTGAAACGCAGGGTTTTGATGCAGAGAAAATGTAGATAATCCCAAAGCTTTTGGATTTTTTTATTTACTTGTTTTGCAAACAACCAAACCCTTTCTTTGTGCAACTCAACTTCCTTTCCTCCTTTACTTGTCTCTAAGATCACTGCCATGCCACTAACAGAGCTAAAGTGCTGGATCTTGTGACTGTGAATGATTTTCTGCTAATCATCTGCTAGTCAACTAGTAACCAGTAGTTAAAGTGAACTGTCATCAAACTCTCTTTCTTATCTTAAGCGAGTTTCATATCAGAGGCCATCAGCCAGTTACACCCTGGCATGTGCCCACTGATGGGATCTCCCTGAAGCAATGGAATGGTATTTAAATGCTCTGCTACATTAAGACCACAAAATAATTCACTCTGTAAAACAATCACACATAACTATTTTTTTCTGCAGGAGAGCTCAGTCAGTATTTACACTACTGTTTTAGCTTGGATCATGAGCATGCTTTTGAAGCAGCTTTGCCAGTCCACATTTACCATGCTTCAATTTTAATTTCAGAGGAATCTTGGAAATTCTTCCGGATGAAGCACTAGCATTGCTAATGGACATTGAGCTGCTCCTACTAGGATGTTCCATTTCCATAGGCACAGCCTCAGCCAGAACCAAAATGAACAATTAGCATGGGTGAAGTGACACAGGGAGCACTGTAAAATGTTACCTCTGTGCAAGGAATGCAACACAGGAGGCAGGAGCACAGGAGCAAGCCCGGAAAGGTTACAAAGCTTTTACAGAGGACACCGTGAACGTTAGCTCTGCCATCATTTTACTGCGCAATTGTATTTTGTGAGGCCCTGTACCTCTAAGAATACATGCAAAACCATTGTTCTATAAACAATAAGAATTAACACATAGATTGACTCTTCAGTAAATTCAGTATATTTAAAGAAGCTGAGAGGCAGCACATTTACTTAAGAAATGAATTGTACAATTATGCTCATTTTCCTCTGGTGCATCACTTGAGCCCATCCATGGTTGTTCCTAGTGCAAGTCACATACCTGAGCTTACACAGCCCATTGAAAATGAATTCCTGCTAGCTGTCACCCATGCCCCAAACTCCACTTGATAACATACCATAAATAATTAGTCTTATATTATATATACATACACCACTAACCATTGTAGTAATGAGATCTGACTATAAAGGTGATATATAAACCAACTGCATGTTTAGAATGCTAGTGGCTAGTGCAAAGGACTTCAACATACATGCAGCTGAATATTGGGAGCATCTAAAGGCTGGCTTTAAACACGTTTTCTGACAGAACACTTACATGTAAGTACTCTAGCAGCCTTATTGCAATAAGACATTATGTCCTGTATCTGTTTTATTTGTGACTGTTTCTTAGCAGGGGGGAAGTAGAAGGAAGTTTACATTATGATTAACTAACTGGGCTGTTACCTTTCTTGTTGGTTTGGGTCAAGTTACAGAAGCATTTGTTATCAGTGGGCAAAGAAAAAAATCTGAATTGTAGTATTAAAGTCTCAACTGTAGTATTTGACTCTGCCTTCTTTCTCCCCAGCTTTGTCCTAAGGCATGTCCTTCTTTACTAAGGGGGGATGGGTGGCAAGGAGCACAACAGAGGTGAGAGATGAGAAATGACCTGCAAAGGGATCCTAGAAGTGGATTATGGAGTATCACATTTTAATGGCTTTACTCGGTTTGTTCCCCTGAAAACAATCTGCAGAATTTGAATTGTGAAGTACACACCAGGTAATTTTCACACCACAAAAAAAGTAAGTTATCTTTAAACAGAAGTAGAAGACATGCGGGTTTGTGTGTTAAATGTTTCAGAGGAATGGAAGCAGTCCAAGGACCCATCTCAGAAGCTTTGCTTTGAACATATACTAGAAGCAATGAAACTGGATCACATCTCAGTTACCATAGTAATGAAGTAAAGAATTGATGTCTCTTCTATTCTTAATCTCCAAGTGATGCCTTGCACCCACACAGGGTAGCATCTCTTTCAAAGTACAAGATGAGAATTCAGAAAGCCATTAACAGCTGCATCCACAAAAATAATTTTAACTATGCAAGTTTCTTGAAACTTTTGGTGAACAGTTTAAAAACTTCTATTTAGAAAAAAATTAATTATACCACGTATACAACCTGCCCTTCAGCAAAGCCACAAGCATTTTTCTGAAATACCATTTTCATAGGTCAAAAAACTACCTATTGCAAGACATTTAAAACTGTAGCTTGTTTCTCTAAACAAAGAATTTCCACTGATGGGTCCAGAGGCATGTAAAATTTCCTTATTATTCCCCTCTATTTTTGGCTTGCAAGGAAGAAGTGATCTTTTTTGACTATCTCCGAATTTTGTTCAGAGGCTAGGGCTGTGCTTCTCCAGCTCAAGCCACTTCATACTGATGGCTACCGTTCTGAATTAGGCAAATTCTTTGCCTGTATACATACATGTGAGGAAGAATAGGTTTGGAAATTTGTGCATCCTTCTCTGCCCTTCAGGACAGGCGACTCAAAAAATAAGAAAAAGAAAATACATGCAGAGTAACATCAAGGTCTCAAACGTATATTTGAGTGATGCCACTTAGATCCTAGCAGGCTGATAATTATTTTCTGGAAGCTGCTAAAAGTAGAAGTCGCAAGTGAAGTCAGAGTATCATACAAAGGTGTCCCAAAGTCAAGAACCAACCTACCTATGC